CAGTGGAAAGCATGGACTGATTCCTTAACTGAGTTGGAACAGGTTTGCATTCAGAGAGCATACATTCCAGTCTCCATGTCACGTAACAAATGAATAAAACTATGTGTGTTTGCGTGTGCCTTGGACTCTAATGTAAAATGGCATGTAGGGTTTGTAATGGGAAAATCAAAGCTTGCTCCTTACCCTATACACACCATGCCACGTCTGGAGTTGTACACAGCAGTCTTGGCAGTTGAGCTGAATGGATCCAGTCTGAAATAGATATTCAGTTTTAAGCAGTAAGGTTCTTCACAGATAGCTGCATCGTGCTGGGCTACATCCACAACAGTTCACGAAGGTTCTATACTTATGTAGCTCACCGAGTAGCTTGCATTCGAAGCTCAACTGAAAAAAAACAGTGGCGGTATGTGTTGACTGTCGCTCAACTTTGGAAAACTGTGAAAAATGAAATATCTTTTGCCACAGCAAAAAGGTGAACTATGTACAGTGTATCAGATATACCAAAGCTCTTTCTACTAATGCATTTTATTGTCTGTCCCTTTGTGTCTCTCTCAGGAGGGAGTGAGATCAGAGATTCAGTGATAGGAATCACAAGACTAATTTACTTTTCTTGTATGTGTTTGTGTAGATTGTATTAAATAAATATAAATATCTGCCTCCAAAGTTGTCCCTGTGTTTCACCTCTTACCAACCTTTTAAACCATCGTGGTTGAGATCCAGAGGCCACAGCAGATGATTCTAATATTATTTTACCTGATAATGACACAAGTATGTAAATGACACAATTTGTCTTAGCAACCAAGTTATCATTATTATTGTAATAAGTAGTATTTTGGGTGCAATAAACCTCTTAAACCTTAACTTGTCAGTGAAAAAGCATTGTTTGGGTGGAATAAACCTTTAATATTAGAACTACTTGGACATGAAGTTACACATTCTGTGGAATAGTCCTTGAATGAACCTTTAAAATTATAAGTATATTTTGTGTAACATCTTCCTTTAAACCATAAGTCGTGCACTTTAGTGATCATCCATTGCAGTAGGTGGCGCTGTCTGAACAAAACTGCTCTAAACCATACAAAAAGTGTGCGGCCCTAGAAGTGTGGTCCTGTCAGTGTGGGTCCTGGGAGTGCAGCCTCTGGCTCTGCACACATGCAATTGGGATTGCCTGGCGCCGCTGGGTCACGTGATGGTACAACATCAGAACACAAGAGGGGGGAGGAGGAGCAAAGTGTGACAGGTGCAATATCAATATGTTAATATCAATACCAATGTTGTTATCAACATTACTGATATTTAGATGGATCCACCCACCGCTAGCGATAACTACAGGCCAGTGTCCAATCTGCCATTTAGAGAGACTTTTTTTAATCAGCTAAATGACTTTCTTAGCCGCCACCACTCCTTTGAGAAACATCAGTCAGGTTTTCGAACCAATCACAGTACAGAGACGGCACTAGTCCAGATTGTAAATGGCCTGAGGTCCAATATGGATGTAAACAAACCGCCTGTCATGGTCCTACTGGATTTAACTGCTGCCTTTGACACTCTTGATCACTCAGTTTTTTTTAGCCCGACTCCACAGTCTGCTTGGACCCTGGTTCTGTTTTAACTGGTTGAAATCTGACTGGCAGAGTTTTTAGTAAGAACAGACGATTCCTCATCTAAGAGTCATAAATTTTGGTGTTCCTCAGGGTTCAATTTTAGGTCCCACACTTATTAATCTTTATACCATGGTCTGGGTGAATACTCGATTCTGATTGGCTGCAGGGTGTCCATTAACAAGTGATATACGACACCTATAAAGAAGTTCCGGTCAAATAACCTGAT